GGGGGGGGAGGATTTTCCTTTTATATATATTAGACTACTACGACGTTTTGATGGATGAATCGGGCATACGGTGGATCTTCATTGCCCTTACTTTGCTGTCGTTGTTGATTGGTAAGAAGGGGTGGGTGGGTAACGGGAAAAAGTCCCGAGGAGCAGATTGGGTAGAGGAAGGAGAGCGGATCTTCCGTGCAGTGCAGCTTCTCCCGAAGAAGGTATTAGAATCATGCTGTAGTAGCAATAAAACGCACTGGTAGCTATTTCGTGCCACGTCACTTACTCATCTAGTTCCCTTACGCTCAGTTGAAGCTGGTGGTGAAGATCAAACGAGGAAAGTTTTCTCACCACCCAAATTTACATGGTTTATCACCTTACAGTAAGGGCGACGAGGTCGAGGGATCTGGTGGAAATAGTCCATTCATATCATCATCGCCGCTAAAGATATCAATATGTGCTGCAATGATGGTGCCAGTCAAAAGATCCGCCCGTATTCTTCCGATCCACCAGATCAAGGCCAGCGTCCACCCCCGCCACCCATCATGAACATAAATGCGAATTGGACGTCAATCCCCGAGCGTCATACTATAAGTCGGTTACCTCGCCCTTTGAGAGATTCTTTCTCCACTCCCCACCCCCCTTCTCCTTACTCCCCCTTCTCCTACCCATCGAGAAAGCATCGCCCGCAAGAAACAACTGGGATTTGGATATCAAGTCAACTGCTTACAAGCCAGCTCCATGAGGCTGAGAAGGAATAGTCAAAAAGAGTCGTGAACGCCAAGCATATGAGACGGCGCTTAATAATCCAGAGGTAACGCCTGCCGTGGCCGCAAGTGTAAGGCAAAATGTACAAATCGGATGCAGAAAAATTTGCGTCCGAGTCAAAAGAGATGAGGGGATGTTTATTGACCGAAGATCTGGTGGCTGTGCTCGATGATGAACTGCATTGCGATATTCTTGTTGTGCATGTCGGTCATTTCGCGCTCCAGACTGTGGTCTCGCATGATGGTTGGTGCAAAGACAACTGCGAGGTTTTTAGGTGTCATCTACAAGTGGTATTAGCCGAGAAATCGCATGGTTGCCTGTGAATGAGTCCTACCAGATTCTCGCTTTCTCTTGTTGCGACCCGGGACAAGTGGAACATCAAGAATTCAAGACAGTCGCGATGCTTGTCGGGCAGCATACCGAAAGTCTTCTTCAAGTGCGCACATCGCTCATTGGCGTTGTCGATGGCTGGGTCATGTTAGCTCATCAAATGTTGGGCGGAACGGGTCAGAACATACTGATTGATTCCAGAATCCGGTCGTAAACATCGAAGGTCAAGAGAGGCGTTGGAAGTTTCCTGAAGTACTGTTTGAGAACACTGGTGACGGCAGTAATATCCAATTCGGGGTCGGAGACATCGAAGTCATCCGTCCGTTCAAATCCTTCCTGCACGATCTTGACTTGTCCGCTACCTCCGGTTTTTCGGTAAATTCCCTCGGCATCCATTCCACGCAACTCAACTTCTTCAATGCAGCGAGTCACGACGCTAGGAATCTGTCGACGTTCGTAATCGGCCCGTTCCACTAGTTCCGACCCGAACAGTGTAGAAGGAGGCTCGGCGGCGGGAATGTTGTCATTTGACACGGATTTGGGCATGGTATTTGACTTCTTGAACAGACCAAAGCCACCTTGTCTAGAAGGATCGTTGGAAGTCGACCTCGGAAGACTGCCAGATGATCCCCCGGCGGTCTCAACAGCCTGGACAGTCATGTTGTAAGGTAGCCCAATACTGTCGCCGGTCTGACCCTGCCAGTTTTGCGATCGTTCCTGTTGCACGGAGGCGAATGCGCCCTTGAAACCTTTGGTAACACCCTTGGCAACTGTCTGCCCCCCCTTCTTCCAATTGAACTTCTTAGCTTGACCCTTCCGGATGTTGACTACATGGGGTGCCGAGAGAACTGTAGCTGGTTCCATAATTGGATCCTGCTCCATAGCCTGCGGGTAGTAGTTGACGGACCCTGCCGAGCCATGCATAGTTGCTGTGCTACTAGCAGCTGGTCGGAGGCTTGCGTCATCCAAAGGAGCCGAGATACTTGAGGCAATTGACTTGTCTTTGTTATGGTTAGTGTAGATTCCCAAGCCATTCATCAGCGGTCTCGGGCCATCAAAGCCATTGCCGCTTTGTGCCTTGAATCGTTCTTGAATCTGGTGAGTTAGATCATTGTTCATATCTGCAAGCTGGGCATTCTTCGAGGAAAGCTGCTCAAACTCGATCAAAGCTCGATCGCGATCGGCTATAATGTGATTCTTCTCTTCCAAGAGATCATTTCGTTCCTCGTAAAGAGACTCCACAGCACCTGACATGTCATGCTTCAGTTGCTCGAGCTTTTCAACAAAGTCCTTGATACAAGAATCCTCCAGCTCCGGAATATTGATTGGTTCTTCCGAGTCTGTGGCTCGCTCCACGTATCCGGCCAAGACTTCCAGTTGGCGAATCATAATCTCTGTTTGAGAGTCCAAAACCGATACAGTCTTGCGCTTCTCCATCAGCTTCTTGTTCAGAGTGTTCAGGTCTTTCTCGTTAGTGAATTGACGCTCAAGCTCTGCTACCCGTTGTTCCGAGTTCCTAAGTTGTCGTCGCAATAGCGCTGGATCATGAGCGGAGTGAGGAGTGTGGACTGATATTGGACTGCTGATTTGAGCGGCACTCGGATCTTCAGTGATTGGAATTGAGGGCCAGCGCGGCGATTGGCTTGTCCGAGTGGTTTCGCTGAAACTCCGTCCGTGTCCGGATTGACGACCATTGCTGACCTCACTTGCAGTCCTTCCGTGACGAACGGCATTTGAGACACGTCGAAGGATCGACTGGGAGCTTTCCTCTGTTCCACCCAGTATCCGTGCCATATCTTCATCCATTGTGAAGTCCCCGCCAGAGCTCCATCTTGGAAGTGCTGGTGAGGCTGGCTTAACGCTAGCAGAGCTCATCGAATCTTTGGCCAAATGTGGAGAAGTTGCCGGAGGTGCCGGAGGCGCTGGCGGTGCTGGCGGTGCTCTGGGGGTCATGTAGGAGTCGCTGGGCTTTTGTGAAGGAGGAACAGGTCGATTTGGGGCACGGCTTGGGGGCGCGAGGTCGTCCGCTGAAGATTTCCACGACACGGGACCCGAGATCGTTTTACCATTGACGGTTGACGTGAGGCCAGAAGCATCGGAAGACGTCGATGAAGGTGAGCTTTCTGTCTCGGAAGATGAACCAACAGAGCTCATGGTCTTCTTCATCACTCCTTGGGCAATCTCTTTGCGGGGAATCGATCTTCCGGTAGCACCCGAGTCCATTCGCTCGATCTGGACCGGAGGTTTGTTTAATTCTGTAGATCTGCAAGAATCGAATTCCTCAATTGCTCTCGAGTCTTGGGAAGATCGAGGTGTTGGAATCTTTTCGTTGTTAAGCTTTTGTTTCGGTGCATCGGTCTTCGCGGTACTAGCATAAGAATCTGTCCGTGGCGGTAAAGAATATGCCGAACTTGAAGATCGAAGTGTCTTACTACTGTCGCTGAGTTCCGTTGGGGAATTGAGACTCCCTGGAGTGCCAGCCTTCTTCCCCTTCGGAGCTTCTCCTAAGCGAAATTTCTCGCTTGCACTCTGGCTCTTGTTATCGTTGGCATTCGAGGGCTTCGATGAATGCGCCGCATGTTGTACTCGGATATCATCACTACCGATGGCCGGCGATGCCTTCGCAGATGAAGACTTGCCTCCTGCAGCAGCTCTTCGCAGGCTGTCCCTGATGTGAGCCGCCTCGTCTGTGGATGCTTGTCGGCCTCTGTCGTGTAAGGCGATATGTGGTGTATGCGGTGTCGATGAATCTCTCCTTGCTACCTCAGATGGGGCTCTCCCGTTACTCTTGGTCCCAAAGTGGTCCTTCTCGGGTGGCTTATTCTCCTTGCTTCGCATCGCTGGATCGGCCCAACTTTCCGATGTTGCGCGTGGGGACATACTCTGGGCAGGGTTCGGATCCAGGGCAAGTGGAATGAAAAAGCTCTCGCCATCGCCACCGGTGAGGTCTGAAACCTGCGAAACTGCAGAATGTCGATTGCTGCGGTATGTTGTCGTTGGAAGGGTCAACCCTTCTCCAGGTTGTGCATCACTCGAGGGTCGCTCTGGCGACTGCTCACGAGCGCGCCTGGAACTCTTTTGTGACGAAGAGTCATTGCGTGTAGCGCCTGGACGAGTTCTTGGTGACAGCTCAGTCGGAGTCTCTGCGTCCTGGGAGTCAGGGGTTTCATGGTCGGGAGAATAGGAAGTTTCCGGTGCAGCGTTGGGTGGAAGAGCAGGCAAAGATTTATCGACCAGCATTGGTGACAGGTCTTCTTTTTTTAATTTGGCCGCAGCTCTTGATTTTTTCCTGCGCCGTGCCATGAGGGATTCGTGACAGCTCATACAGAATATCCCTTGCGATGTGCGAGCATATCGGAGGTTTTCGATTTTGCGCTTACAGTTTCGACATCGAAAACAAGTCGCGCAGAAAGCCTGGTCACCAGTAAGAATAGCTAGGTCCTCGATTTTATTGCCACAGGCACTGCAGCTATATGTACAGTTATTGCATATGAGGGACCCATCGCCGAGGAGGAGGAGGTTCGCATCGGAGTCGAGTAGGGTTCCGCACGTATTGCATCGAAAGCAATTCAAGTGCCATCGATTGCCAGCTGCAGACTTGTCAGCCATGGTCAACTTTTGAGGTTGGGCCCGCTATGATAGCAATGAGGTGAGGTGGCAGATCAAGGCTTGAAGGCATAAACTCTGGAAAGGCTAGTGATTCACTCACCAAGTTCGAATGCTTTCCCTTCCTCGAGGATCTGTGAATCACGGTCAGTACCATGGCCAGGCGCAAAGACCTCTCTCTCTCTATCCGAGTCAACGTACATCTCCACATCCTTTGCACGGATATGCCACATCTTCCCCGTCCGTCGTGGACTCTGGATAATCGGCCGGCGACTCCATGGTAGATTCTGATCAGGGCGGACCAACACGACGACAGTTCCGTTCCTTCTCCTTCGTGCCTCGCCTGTCCTGTAGCCTCGGGGTGGCCAGCAGCTGTTCCTCCTCGAATACCTGGGCTTTGCAGTAGGGTCAGAACATGGAACGAGACGTAGAGCTGCAATCCCTTGACGTCGGCTGGTTGGAATTCCACGCACGGTCGGGAGAAGCGATAAGTAGGTACGCCAGCAGGTCACGTCGGTCAAGTCAAGGACCGGACGTCGGTCAAGTCAAGGGGCGGAATGGGCGGAATGGACGGTAGGGGGGGGGGGGATGAATAATTATGCTATAGAGTGGGTATGGTATGGAAGACAAGAACGAGTGATGGATTTGAGATGGTGAGAGCAAACGGAAAAATGAGAAGGACGAGGCGAGACAGACAGACAGACAGACAGAGGGATGGTGTTGGTGGTCGAGGGTTGACGGTTGACGGTTGACGGTTGGTGGTTGGTGGTCGGTAGTGGGAATGAAAGTAGGAGGGTAGGTGTGCGGGAGGGCCAAAGATTCTTAATGCCTCGAATATAGTGGATCACAATATTGCATGCCTCAACACCTTAAACTGAATTCCGCTCTGCATCGCGAAATTTCTGCTGGTGCGTTATCGCACAATAAGCTCACCTGATCCTAGTAATTGGCAGAAGTTCCTTACTGGCAACACTATTCTATTGGTCTATTTGGAATCATCATATTCGCGATGGCAGACCCTTTTTTCACAATATTTCTACGGGAGTAACGAAGCGGAAGCTCTCAACATTCCGAATCTTTGAGAGAGTGGCAAGGGCAGGGGCAGGGATAGGGGTAGGGACTGGGCAACAATGGACGAACGTGTCCTATAGTGTAGCATGTGTGATCAGAGGAGGGAGATACCTAGGCAAGTCGAATACGATAGAATACGACGTACAGTACCGGTAGATAGACAGATGGGTGGGTGGTAGGGTGGATGGATACCGGTAGATGGATGGAAAGATAGATGGATGGATAGATGGATGGATAGATGAATGGATAGATGGCTGGAAAGAATAAATAGATGGATAGAAAGATCGATCCATACCTAGATCCATCTCTAAATGCACATCCTAAATTCACACAGACCGACCTAATAGGGACCGTCAGTACCCGGTACCGACTTGTACTACGTACTTCGTTCCTTTTCCACGTTTCAAGTCGACATCCTCCATGCCGACGGAGTAAGGTAACAACAACAAGGCGAGGAATGTACCGGTACTGGTAGCTCCCATCCGTATGCTAATGGTGCTTACATAATCACGATCTAAAACTAAAACTAAATCTAAATCTAAATCTCAATCGCAGATTCTCAATCTTCCGGCGGAGGAAGGTCCGTCCGTACTCCGATCGCTGCTAGGAAGACAACAACGACGACCTGGGTTACCTACCGTACCACTCACAGTCATCAGGCCGGGATCGTTGGCTACATCGGTTGTTTGACATATATTGTGCTTTCCCCTACCGAGAAGGGTTTCGTTTCAGCCCTATTCTAGCCAAACATTCCTTCATGTTTCAGCATTCAAACGATTGCGGTTGTATGTACGTAGTACTTCTCGCACCACGGCCGATATCCAACAATCTTCATGACCCGTGAGACCCGTGAGACAGGACAGGATCAAGAAATCTGGCTTGACGATTCATCTATCTATCTAGCAGGAACCTCCAACTTCTCTACCCTACCTGGGTCAGGACCTGGGTCAGGACGGAGCAATAAGTACCTACAGGTACCGGTACCTACACAAGAGAACGACCGACGCCCACAACCAATCCATTCAGCGGTCCCCCCCCCTCCACCCCCCCGGCAGTAAACACTAACGCCTTCGACACCCTGCCTCCATCATGGAAGGTGGTCAAGTAACCAAAGTCTCACAGCGTACTCGTACAAAAGACAATCAACAATCAACAATCAACCATCCGTAAACACCCTCCACTTTACCTATGCGCCGTACCACCCCCATTCGCCGCATTCCCGCCTCATCACAGAGCAGCAGCCACCTCCCGCTGTCTCCGGACAATGTAATACGTGATCAAACTCTTCGGGTCGTCCTTCACACCTCCAAGCGCACCCCAGAATCTCGACTCTCCGACCCGTGCATGCATGCTGACACACAACTGCACAGCATCCATCCGCACCCCACTCTCGGAGCTTTCCAGACACCTCGCCGCCAGCTTGCACATATTGCCAACCTCTTCTTCAGTCGGCACAAACTCCTTCTTGAAATCTAACAGCTCTTTCAAAACATGGAGACCCATGCTGAGGGTTCTGCAGCCCTCTAATGTCATGTCTTTATTTTGGAGCTGGGCGGTAATCGTGTCGGTCGTTTGTGTAGGGTTCGATAGCGTGACGAGTTCATCGGCGAGAAGCTCGAGACCGCTAACGATGTGTGTGCGGGCATCGTAGCAACTGCGAGTTGCCAGGATCGCCTCCAGTCCTTTGGCCACGTGGGGGCGGAATCCCTCGCGGTCTTTCTTGTACATGAGCTTGATGGTGCCCAGAATCTGAGCCTTGACGTCCTGATCCTTCTCGGGAGAAAGGGTGTCGAGGCGTGCCTCAAGGTACTCAAAGAGACCGCTGACCAAAGCATCGAACTTATCGTCTGAAGCTGCCGCATAGTTGTCTCGGATCAATCCCTGCAATTTCCGGAAGCCATGAACATCAAGTGACTTTGCCTTGATCTTTGCGATGCCGCTATCGAGAAGTCGGGCGTTCTGCTTGAATTTCTCTGGTGACAATGGGGAACCCTTGGGAGAATCAACCCTGTCGATGCCGTTCCGAGCTATAGCTAGGTTGGATGCATCTTCGTTAACAGGAACTTCCTCGAGGACTGGTGCTATGACATCGGGGCGAGGAGTTGTCGGGTCATCGGTGCTTGAGAAAGGATCCTCAAAAATTTTAATGGGTTTTACAGGTGTCACAATAACCTGTTCGTCGGAAGACCGCGCCGTCAGTGGTGAAATCTTGGCGTGTGGCTCTTTATCTCCGGAAAGGGTAGGCACGAGCATTGTGAAATCCTCATCATGTTTCGCTGGGCTTGACGAGGCGAGATTTCTGGTCGAGGTCGTCGAAATATTGGGTCTCGCAGGACTCGTGCGTGGTGAGGCTGCTACTTTACTAATAGCAACCTTCGCAGGGCTGTTGTGACTTGTACTCGCATGGCTAGAGTGACTGGTGTTTGGTCTGGCCAGGAGTTTTTTTGGGGGGGTAGTGCTACTTGCACTTGGTGTTATACCCTTTGGCTGTCTCGCCGATGGGCTTGTGTGAGGCTCACTGTTGCCGGGGCCGTGTCCTGGTCGTCTGACCGAGTATGGGCCTGCTGTCGCAGGTCTAGCAATCATTTCTGGTCGGGGTGCAGGGCGGAACTTTGCGGGTCGCATTGGAGCAACAGAAAGGCCACCATGAGCAACAGTAGTTGACTCCGATCGCCCCTTTGATACCGTGTCTGATTTTGCGGATACCGTTGAGGAAGATGATACTGTCCGCACAGGAGAGAACGAAGACATTGCCGATCCTGGACGTGCCGGGAGGTTTTTGTTTGCTAGGGCTGCCTTCTTTTTAGCCATCATTGTCTCTTTCAGCGAAGGTTTATACGGGACATTTGTGCTCTTGCTAAATCCCATTCCCGGACGAGCAGTAGCCACAGGATCGACCTTCCTTGGAGAACCTGGGTTATCAGGGGAATTTTCCAGGAGTCTCTGCTGAGTAGTATCCAAAGTCGCCAGGATAGCATTGGCCTTTGCTGGCCAAGTCTGGGCGAAGGTCCAATACGTAGACCGCATGTTCTCTCGAACAGCCGGATTTGCATCTGCCAGACCCTTTTTGATACATTTCTCTATCAGTTCTAAGCCACCAGTATGCTCAACATGGCTCTTGTGATGAGCTTCTTTCTTCAGTAATGTCTTTAGCCATCCGGTCGCATATGTTCTTGGCTGTACGTTCTTGTCCTGGCATGCCAACCAGATATGTTGCATGATTCGAATGTTGTATGAAACCTTACTGATGATTATGTCGACTGTCAGATTTCCGTTCTGAGAACTGATCTTCTTCGTTCCACCGCAGAGCTTGATCAGATTTTGCAGAAGAATTTCTACCATGGGATCTAATCCCGGACCAGCATTTCTAGCGATCTCTTGGATAACACTACAGCCTTCTTTTGAGAGACTTGTTCGCAGGGAGTTGACTGCTTTTAGAATTCCATCCAGAAGCGCCTTGATCCCAGCGAGAAAAGTGTCGTGAAAATCGCTTGGAGCGTTTCCGGCATTGAGCCGCCTCAATTTGGTGCAACTTTGTTCTCTCTTCAACCAATTTGCCTCTGACTCCTTGCCTTCGAAGAATGGGTGCATGTCCCTGAAGGTATCCTCCAGCTCCCTATTTGTGTTGACATATGACGGTTCCACATTCTCGATCTTTGGCTCTGTCACTGGCGTGGCTGGCCTAGTACTAGACATCGAGGAGACGCTGTTCGCGAAAGCCGAGCGAGCTGGTGGTAAGTCGGCCTCGGGCTCGGTCTGCTCAGAAGGTCCTCCAGGTCCAAGATGAGGGATGATAGCTGCTACAATTGCCGGGCGAACATTGAAAATCTTCAATTGCTTCTTTAAATCAGATTTCGCAGTATTCGGGGCGTCCCTGTTGTCTGTCAGCTATCATGACCAAGTCGTCGGGATTGGACATACTGAAAAAGTGCTATGACTGAATTTCTGGCTGTATCTCTAACCATACCGTCCGCGTCCTCGAGAAGCTCCACCAGGGTTGAAACAAAGCTCTTGAACGGCATAGCATTCTCCTGGTGCATCTATGAAGCTGTCAGTCAAGTATAATTGACCGTGCTTCCATGCAGGCAAGCCTACCTGTACAACCCAATTCATGGAAGCCTCCTTCATCCTCGAGTTTTTGCCTACGAGGCCTGCATTCTTGACTATCCTCTCTACATCCAACGGCGAGGCCTTCCAAAAGGTCGTAAGGCATTGCGCCGCAAGCTGTCTGTGCTTCTCCTTCGGGTCGCCCATCTTGTCTATAACCACGGGCAAGGTTCGCGCTGCCTCCTTAACCATTTGTCTCGGCTTTGGATCTTGTCGCGATAGGCGTGAGAGCAGATGGTTCAAGGTCGAGAATCCAGCATTGGCGATAGCGGCATGCTGGGATGCCATCGATATGCGCGAGGCTTCGAAGAGAGGAACAATGCATGGTTCTGGCACATTGTTCTGCTTGATCCCGGACTTGACATTATTGATTTGGTTGACCTTCGCATCGATCGAGGCGTCAGTGCGGAGAATCGCCAGCAGGTTTGCGACCTGATCTTCGCTGATCTTGTCGCCCATTCTCAGGCCCACGGCAGTCGACTGTGGATGTCAATGGGCTGTCAGGTAATGATGAGAGTGTGGGGCAGCTGGTAAAGGACAAGCAATAGCAACAGCCATACATTTGCAACATACGAGATATGAAATATCAAACAGGGACTTACTCAAAAACCTAAGGACGAGCAGGAGTAGCGGATGTGTGGTGTCGCGTCGGGTCGTGTGGTGTCGGAGTAAACAAAAATGCGTGTTGCTCTGCCTTGTGCCATGTGGTTGCATTGCATGCAGGTGGTTATCACGTGGCGGCGCGACTTCAAGAACGATCAGTGAGCATTGTGCAGCAATGGGCCGAGCACCGAAGTTTACTTGACTTCTACGGTACTTAACCAGACTCCGCATGCCAGCCAGGGACAAGGATTCACTTGCGAAAGCCAAACAGTAATCCAGCTCTTCTCTCACTGTCAAACACTAATACCCCGTCCTCTTCCCGTACAGATTTTCCCTTACCATCATCTCGACCTCGACCTCGACCTCGACCTCGACCTCCACCCAGCTCTGGCTCTTCTACAATGACAGAATCATCAACTCCCCCTCCTCCGGTGTTCATGCCACCAGTATTACCCCGCTCAACTGCTCTCGACGCCGCTTCAACGTCAGCTCCTCCGCCCTCCCAGAGGCCAAATCAATCAAAGCCCAAAGAAGAACCAATACCCTCGACCACTTTTCCTCTGCCCAAGCTTCGCCTGGAGATACGTGATCTCTGTCATGAAGGCTCGGACGCTTTCCTCAAGGCTGTCACTGCCGACAGGGCACTCGCAGAATCAGTTCAGAGTGTTCTATCTCTTCTCTACCGCTCTCCAGATTCGCAAACGACAACTGTACCGACTACTAGATCTGTAACCTTGATTCTTCGACCTATGGAGGGTGTGGCTTATACAACCGGCAGTGACTTAGACAATGATCACAAGGAGATCCACTTCTCTCTTGACTACATCCATTGTATAGCCAAAGAGCGGAAGAAGAAAGAAATTATGGGAGTGCTCACGCACGAAATGGTGCATTGCTATCAATACGACGCCTTTGGGACGTGTTCAGGTGGACTTATTGAAGGGGTTGCAGATTGGGTACGCTTGAATGCAGACTTGAGCCCCCCTCACTGGAAGAAGGATGCAAACTGCAAATGGGACGCTGGTTACCAGCATACAGCTTATTTCCTGGAGTATCTCGAGCAAAGATTTGGAAAAGGGACCGTAATGAGACTCAACGAAAAGCTGAGGATCGAGAAATACCACGAGAAGAGATTCTGGAAAGAGTTGATAGGCCGCCCTGTCGAAAAACTATGGGACGATTATAAGGCTACTTTGAAGAAAGAAAATGAGAAGGCAGAGGAAGAGGAGTGCGTCATTGTGGAAAAAGAGGATGTTACCACCCGAAATCATCCACACCGACAGAAAAAATCTCGCAGTAAGAGCCGCAGTAGGAGCCGCAATAAGAGCCGCAGTAGGAGCCGAAGCAGCAGAGAGCCGATGTTTGAGCCAGGCGTTTAGGATCTGTTGAGCTTCTGCAGCGATGTTAATACCTTGGCATTGTTGGTGCTATGTCTACTTCAACCCCCACCTCCCGATATTGTTGCATAGAAATCTTATATCTAGTTGAATTGATATCTTTTGAGTCTATCATTGTGCACCCCTATCAAGATTGTTGCTCTTTAAGCATATGTTACCATCTTCGGAGTATTACATCCTTGGTTTATCGGTAGCATCCACACACCCTTGCTCCAATGCTGACCCCTTGCCCATCGCATACCACTGGTTTCGACCAGCAGTCAGCTTATTGGATATTGCAGCGTAGCTCGAGGACTGAGACTAGGCTGGAGTTCACATCAAGCCAAAGGAAAGAGCCATCTTACAGCGCTTCTTCATGCTGAACTACCGCCTCATACTTAACACTGACCGTTGTGTTCTGGGTTGTCCTGACCCGCTCGCCTGCCTTCATATATTTGGTTCCCAAACCGCTTTTCTAGAGGCACTATGACTGCTTCCAGGATAGCCAGCAAAGTTGAGATCAAGCAAAACTAACGGGGTGAATAGGAAATCATCAATAGGCGAACTTCCATCCTCATATGTAAATGTCCCCTACTGCCGACCATAACGATAACCAGTGCCCGATTTCGTCTCCCTGGTTGACGAGTAATACAGTCTCAAGAGACAGGCCTCGCCAGCTTGATAAATTTTTCTTGAGAGGGTGTCTGACCTCCTTGCCGTACTTTTTACAGCCAGCAGACGAGCCGCTCATTGAGTTGTAAGAGCATGGCCGTACCAATCATAGGCAGCTCGGTTCGTCAGCTCTTTAGTACAAAGCCCGAAGTGAGAAAGATGTCGAGGGTAGAAGCTTCTCGCTATCTGTATTCGCTTTACGAAATGACTACGGTGCGATTTTAGTAATCAAGAGCCTTTCTCTTTCGACCAAATCTGATAAGCTGATCTATTCATTATCCCTTTATTTCCAATTGTTGGGAGGGGAAGAGAGGTGTTGATTGGAAGAGGGGCAACAGTTCTTGCCCCGGCGAAGGAGAGATATATATATATATTATCTACATCATACGTCAGAGTTCTGATCTCAGCTTCTAGTTCATTTTTGCTCGTTGTATACTTTTTCATCTTCAATGGGAGTATGAATGGTTCATTTGCTGAGGCGGAAGGTTCCTACCCATTGAAATCCCGTCCTTGCTCGAAAAAATACCCCGAAGTTCACCCAACTGATGCAAACATAGATCCATACTACAGCTCGCAGAAGTAATTGGAAACAAGCTTCCGTGGTCCAATGGTTAGGATTCCACCCTTCCACAGCATGCAATGCTCGAGTAAGGTGGAGGTTCGTGTTCGATTCACGGCGGTTGCAGATCCTTTTTGTCATTTCAAGTCTTTTGATTCGAAGGGTGCTCGCTTAAATACGGAGTAGGTATGCTGCTAGTTAGAATGAAGATTGAATTTACCTTGTGGGTTTGAGGGCGCCACAACCATCGCTCGCATTATTTCAAGCGCAATTTCAATTTCTTCCCCATACTCTATTCTACATGCCTCAACTCTTTGGCAGCTGTGTAAATGACGATTTGAATTGATCGTGCATGGATCAAGTCGTCGAGATTGGCAGTGGTTTTGTGCGCTGCATCACGAGGAGCCTCGTAACGAGCTTTGAAGTTCTTCGGCTAAGCTCGGAATAACTATCTCCGTTCCGTACTTCACCAAACATATCGCTGCTGATTTATGACGACGCTGCCTCGAATGAAAATTTCAAGAAAGCTATTATCTGAATCAAACCATGGATTCATTGGCGATCGATAATTCACTATCTCTATATCAGATTGTATTTTTTATATCTTTGAAAAATTGTAGCTGTGCCGCTCGCATACCCCTTATGCTTGCGCTTAAGCATAAGGGCGTTGTTTAGTGCTGATCGTGTAGCTAACCACTCGCCGGGTCGCCAGATATAGACTGACTGACCGTACTATGCTCATTTATATAACGGTACGTTAATCAAATCCCGGTATGATCGAAAGACAGTTGTTGAATCCCTCTATCAACTGACATCCCAAGCAGCAATTCTACATTTCCCAAGATCGCCCGCGTCCAGAAACACTAAAAGCAAGCAAGAAATTGTCGTCAGTCAGTCGATCAACATATCAAGCGGTGATTGGCGAGAGGTGTGCAAGAATCACTTCATATGATCCTTAGCCCAGCAAGTCTCTACATATGATCATCTTCCTCTCTCTTCATAGCAATTCTACCGCCGCATCCCCAGGAAGGCCCAGAACGGCCATACGTACATAATTGCCCCACAGTACGAGAGCTGTCGGTCTCGTGAAGAGCATCTGGATTACTGCCTCTGGCAAAGCCACAACAGCACAAGGCAGGAAGAGTCCAGCAGAGACAATCTTCAGGCTCAAACCTGGCGCTCTCAGGTCTCGTGTGGGAATAGACATATTCGCGGGAGTAGGAAGAAGTGCGTTGGCGGTGGATGTTTGACCACAGCACACACACACACATACCCTCTTTTCAGGCCTCTCTACCCTCCCTCACTCTCAGATACCTAGTCTGTCTGTCTGTCTGTCTATCTTAACATCGCCCGCCGCCAATGGAGCAAGCAAGCAAATCAAGGCCGCCAGACAAGTGACTCAGCAGCTCAAGTGTTTGCTGTTGCTGGAAACATCAGGGAAATCTCGCGACAACACCGAGGGCCAAAACACGTATGTATAGTAGCTATCTATTAGAGAGCCTTTCCCAGCCGAGATACGTAAAGAGCATGAAATGAGACTGGTGATTTCTGGACGCATGGGCCTGGGCCTCGGCCTCGGCCTGCCGGCAAGTTCGAGATTCCTTTTCCGTCAGTGCGAAAACGTCGAGTTGTCAGCCTGACAGAAAACGTATCGTATCTCCTGGCTTGGCTGACAGCATAAAGGATTACCAGATAGATTATTCTCCTACCAATATTAGCAAGAAACAGTTTGCGATGTAGCTAGCTGATCAAGACTCCATCATGAAGTGGAGCTTGACCCACCTCAGTGTTCATGCGTCAAAGCTTTGCCTGCGGTGCGATGGGGCGAAGTTGTTGTCCACGGTGTGCTACGGTCCTCCCAGCAAGACCAACTGACTGGTCTGGGATTCCTTCTTTGGAAAACCGTACTCCGGACGCATTCTGCAAGCCGAAGATTGATGGCGTGGGGAATCAGCGAACCGAACTGTGTCACAGGTTTATGCACGTTACCGGTAGTTAGACAGTGCTAGATTAGAGGTCTGTATAACACATATTTCCACACGCACACTCGGATTCAGGTGTTCCCTTCAGACAGCCTCAACACCTTTCGCAGAGTCGCAAATGGTGGTAGTCGAGCGTTTATCTAGCACCCTTCAGGTCTGCCGCGTCTCTAACATCACCATCATCATCCGCGTAATCCTAAAAAAACAATTGCCATCTGCTCGGCTGCCAAGTCGCAAGTAAAACAGGGAGAGCAAACCCTCCTCTCTCTCAATCCGCACATCGGAATCTCCTCTCCCAGCCCGCTAGACACAGGAAGGGGTTTCAACCAAGCACGATAAACCAGAGACCTCGTACAAGTAGGTAGGTAGTTGCGGCCCAAGCCAAGCCAATCTTCCGAGCCATCGTTCTCTCGCTATCGAACCCGCTCGCTCGCTGTCAAGCGAGTGAGTGAGGCTGGCCGGACGGGCAAGTAAGATCGATCAAGCACGAGCTCGCGGCGGCGTCTTCAAGCCGACGGGGGCGCTTTTCAATGGGGAAAAGGGGCCCGGAGGCCAGGCTACGTGCGTGGCGTGCCACACACATCCACCAAGCCCATTCATTCACTTGCTTGCTTGCTTCAGAGAACGCAACGCAGAAATACGACACCCAACTCAGCACCGTATACCTAAACCAAAGCGTCGCCACCCCACCCACCTGTATTCTCTTGTCTGCTCTGCTCTGCTCTAATCTAATCTAATCTAATCTAATCTAATCTAATCTAATCTAATCTAATCTAATCTAATCCGACAGCCGCAGATCCAGATCCAACAATCGTTCGTTCATAAGCGAGGCCGCAGGAAGTGCCCCCCGGCCGCATCATCGCTTACACCACCTCCACCACCACCACCGATGCAACGCAACGCATAAGTAAGAGCAAGTACCTAGACAAACCAACCCAACGAATGCCACCCCCTCCCAAACATCCAAACATCCCAGCAAAAGGCCACCCGCGCTCAGAGCCAGTGTTCGCCCTGCGAAAACAAGGTGGCCAGCCAGCCAGCCAGCCAGCCAGCCGACCATCGACATCTCCAGACCAGAGCAGAGCAGAGCAGAGCAGATGAAATCCCGGCCGAGCAAAGATACATGAAAGCGAGACAGACAGTTGGTTAGTTGGCCTCAGTGATAGCTAGCAGCGAGTGGATTGAATTTGAATTTGAATTTGAATTGAATTGAATCGAATGGGTGAGTGGCTGAATGGGTGAATGGGTGAATGGGTGAATGGGTGAATGGGTGAATGGGTGAATGGGTGAATGGGTGAATGGGTGAATGGGTGAATGGATGAGTGGGTGGTGCAGGGAGGCCAAACTAACCTGCCAAACCCGCCCACCCAGAGAAGAAGAGGCGAAAAGAGGCCGTGCAAGGAAGATATCGACGAAGATGATCGACGGGTGCGTCGTGCGTGGTTTGATTGCACCTTCCTTCGACGCAGGTTTTGGTCGAGGAAAGAAAAGAAAGAGAGAGAGAGAGAAGAGAGAGAAGAGAAAGAAGAGAAAGAAGAGAAAGAAGAGAAAGAAGAGAAAGAAGAGAAAGAAGAGAAAGAAGAGAAAGAGAGAAAA